ATTCATAATTGGAAAAAATGGAAATAATCTAAATGTATAATGAGAGAAGGATGTGTAAATGCATTTTAACTTGCTTTTTCACTAAATGTACTTGGGTCTTTTTGTGGTCCACCTCTGAGCACTGTCATCTGCCCCTTGTCCAGAAAATGTATATCAGTGTTTGTTCAGATAGTCTCCTGGTACCTAAAGTACTGCTGGGAAATAATTTGATTTACTTATTATATTAGGTGTAGTTTTTTTTTTTTTTTACCCAGTCATAACCTAGTAAATGTAAATAGAATCTAAGACTTAGTCAATGTATTTATTATACTAACAAAGCAAAAACTATAGTAACTGTGATTTACTTACAATATGCAATGACATGGTTTCCTTTTTCAGTAACATCTTAGCAAATGTCAATTTAAAGGTTCCAAAGGTGAATCACAAAACTCACCACTAAGAACAGCGAGAAAACTAAGCAAGAGAGTAAAGTGCTCACCTCTCTGTGACCTTTTGTAATATCCGTACTATTCTAAGGCATTGGGGGTTGGCTTATACCTCTGATCTTTCTAAGAGCATTTCTGATGACTAGGGAGAGTTCAGTGTGAAATATGGCTGCCAGTATCCCCAAGGGATTGGCTCTACTACCCACTGTGAATACCAAAATCCCATGCATATCAGAGGCCCCAGAGTCAGCCCTGCAGAACCTGTAGATACAAAAAGTTGGCCCTCTGTGTCCACGAGTTTTGCAAATACCATATTTTTCATCTGGATTTGGTTGCAGATGCAGAACTGTGGATGTGGAGGGCCAATTGTATTTATTGAAAAAATCTACATACATTAAAGTGGACCCCCACAGTTCAAACCCATGTTGTTCAAGGGTTAACTATAATTATGTTGTATAGTATACGGAATTTATTCAAATTTAATAATTCAGAAATTAATAACTGAATAATCTCTGCAGCATATGGTCTAGCTGAAGAAGACATAACTTCTTTGTATTCTCTGTGTGTGTTTGGTTAATTCAACTTCAGCAAAGTTAGGAACGAATGCCTGTCATGAGTAAATATGTGGTTCATAATAATTGCCACCATCTTTTAGTTCTTATTTGTGAATGTGGTTTAGAGACACAGTTTCTCTCATTGGAGGGTAAATGCCTCCGGCATTTATAAACCACCCTATTTGGAAATAGAATGCATAGGGAAATCAAAGATTAGAAGTCCAAAAAGTGTCTGTCATCCAAACATTGTAGTAATATCGTCTCTATCATGGTTATATATTGGAGCAAGGATGGATTTTTATTTATTAATCTTACAACTGAGAACTCTCACAAGCTTAGTAGCACCTAAAATAAATGTTGACTTAGCATAAAATAACTAATCAAAAGTTTATTCCATGATACAAGCCTTGTAATTTGGGCAACATTTTGGAGCTGTAAATATTCAGGCAATCGGTTGACTGTTATCTCTGTTAGCTCTTTGTGGCATAAACAAATATTCTCTGTGGAAACCAGCAATTTTTAAAATATCCTCTTGAAGAGATTTGTTTTATAAATAGGAAAATTCTAAATACATTTTGTCTTTAATTTTTATTCTCAGGTTGGTGAAACTAGATGCAAAAAGGTTTGTACTTCTAAGTCTGATCTGAGATCGAATGATTTCAGCATTGTTGGAAGCTTACCAAGAGATTTCGAATTATCCAATTATGACTGCTATGGAAAACCCATTGAAGTCAACAATGGACTTGGGAAATCTCAGGCAAAGAACAACAAGAAGCCTCCCCCTGCCAAACCCGTTATTCCAACAGCAGCAAAGAGAATTGATCTTTATGCAAGAGCATTGTTTCCTTTCTGCTTCTTGTTCTTCAATGTTATATATTGGTCTATATATTTATGATAAAGTTTTTCCATTTGTATAAAATAAAATTCCATTTCATTGTGACCAAACCAACTTACAAATGCCAATCTGTGAAAATTTTTTCATTTTCATAGCAATATATTGCATTTCGGATGACATTGGATTGTAAAAAAAAAAAAATGTGACACCTTCATTTTGAATGGCAGCATGATTACATAATATCTATGCTCTAATAATGATGTATATACATATAATGAACATATTGCTTTAGGAATAAATGAAAGATAAATATACTACATAATGTAAATGCAAACAGCTCTCTTCAGTTAATATAAACTGCAAATACTTCAGATAATTCTGATAATAAAATGATGTGCACGCTGAATCCTGTTATGGTCACCATTCTAATGTATGTAGGATTTCAAATTTCCTCCCTTGTAACTTTCAAAGAAAACCATCTTATTCTTGTATAATTTTAGAAGGTATTATCACAGATTATGCAAAATTGCATTACATATTGTTTAAACTTTGTAAGTAGAAATATATTGCTATAATTATGCAGGCTCTATGGAAAAACAAAGTTCAAAAATTATGAATTTGTAAAATCAACTCATTTTAAAGTGTATTTGTGTTGTCAAAATGTCAAATAATGATTCACAGTAAGCGTTTTTGAAACAAAGGGAAATCTGTACTTACGTAAAAGCATACTGAATTCTGTCTTCTGATAAAATAAAAAATAAATAAATAATAGATGCATTGATTAAATATTTAGGATAAAAGAAATTCTATTTAATCCACCTTAAAACCTAAATATACTTCCATGGATTCCATGTGTTGATACAGAGTACACAAAAACATTGTGCCTTAAAAACAGTCATACATATTTTAAATTGGAATGCAGTAACAGACGTGTGATCCTACATCATTTTTAAGAAGCCAAAAATAAATATTCTATTACTAGAAGTAGCTTGAGTTTGAAATAAACCCATA